AACTGGGTGGCCTTGGAAGTGCAAGCCCTGACTGCGCGACCTGGCCGGGTCTCAGGGACTGGGGTGACAAGAAAGGGCTGGCAGGAGGACGCGCCAGCTGCCCTCCCCCAGCCAGCCCCGTGGCCTCCCCCGGGTCCCGGTCACCTGCCTCCCTGTGAGAGCCGCTCCTGAGGACTCCCCACTCTGAGGACGCGGCCGTTTCAGAGCCGAGCGTCCGGTGCCGTGTGGTCAGGGCTAAGCTCCTCACTTCTGAGCCCCTCACGTCTTTAAACGTGCTGTCTACTTTAAAATCCTGCAACTTTTATATTTGAGGGGGAGGGAAGCAGGGAGAGAGATCTCCCACGCTTTGGTTCACTCCCCGAACACCCGCAGCAGCCATGCTGGACCAGGCCAAAGCAGGGGCCTGGGACTCCACCAGGCCTCCCACCCGGCGGCAGGGACCCGGGCACTTGGGCCATCACCGCTGCCTCCCAGGTGCACGTGAGCAGGAAGCTGGAGAGCTGAACGGAGCTGGGACTTGAACCCAAGCCCCTGGGCGCTAGGGAGGCAGGTGTCCCAGTGGCATCCTAACGGCCGCGGCCACTGCCCACACCCCTCATGACTTCCACGGGGGCTTCCGGATGTCACCCACTTTCCCCACAAGCCCCCTCTCTTCTGCTTTCCCTCGAGCTCTGGTCTCTCTGCAGCCTATCAGCCTAACGCACTGCCCCTCAGTGCAGCAAACAACAGCCAGTCACTGAGACGGGGCAGGTGTGGGCTGTGGGGCAGGTGTGGGCTCTGTGGGGCAGGTGTGGGCTATATGGGGCAGGTGTGGTCTGTGTGGGCAGGTGTGGGCTGTGTGGGGCAGGTGTGGGCTGTGTGGGGCAGATGTGGGCTGTGTGGGGCAGGTGTGGGCTATATGGGGCAGGTGTGGTCTGTGTGGGCAGGTGTGGGCTGTGTGGGGCAGGTGTGGGCTGTGTGGGGCAGGTGTGGGCTGTGGGGCAGGTGTGGGCTGTGTGGCAGGTGTGGGCTGTGTGGGGCAGGTGTGGGCTGTGTGGGGCAGGTGTGGGCTATATGGGGCAGGTGTGGGCTGTGTGGGGCAGGTGTGGGCTGTGGGGCAGGTGTGGGCTGTGGGGCAGGTGTGGGCTGTGTGGGGCAGGTGTGGACTGTGTGGGGCAGGTGTGGGCTGTGGGGCAGGTGTGGGCTGCGGGGCAGGTGTGGGCTGTGTGGGGCAGGTATGGGCTGTGGGGCAGGTGTGGGCTCTGTGGGGCAGGTGTGGGCTATATGGGGCAGGTGTGGGCTGTGGGGCAGGTGTGGGCTATATGGGGCAGGTGTGGACTGTGTGGGGCAGGTGTGGGCTGTGGGGCAGGTGTGGGCTATATGGGGCAGGTGTGGGCTGTGTGGGGCAGGTGTGGATTGTGTGGGGCAGGTGTGGGCTGTGTGGGGCAGGTGTGGGCTGTGGGGCAGGTGTGGGCTATATGGGGCAGGTGTGGGCTGCTGGGCAGGTGTGGGCTGTGGGGCAGGTGTGGGCTGTGTGGCAGGTGTGGGCTGTGGGGCAGGTGTGGGCTGTGTGGGACAGGTGTGGGCTATATGGGGCAGGTGTGGGCTCTGTGGGGCAGGTGTGGGCTGTGGGGCAGGTGTGGGCTCTGTGGGGCAGGTGTGGGCTGTGGGACAGGTGTGGGCTGTGGGGCAGGTGTGGGCTGTGTGGGACAGGTGTGGGCTATATGGGGCAGGTGTGGGCTATATGGGGCAGGTGTGGGCTATATGGGGCAGGTGTGGGCTGTGTGGGGCAGGTGTGGGCTGTGTGGGGCAGGTATGGGCTGTGGGGCAGGTGTGGGCTGTGTGGGGCAGGTGTGGACTGTGTGGGGCAGGTGTGGGCATTGGGGCAGGTGTGGGCTATATGGGACAGGTGTGGGCTGTGGGGCAGGTGTGGGCTGTGTGGGGCAGGTGTGGGCTGTGGGGCAGGTGTGGGCTATATGGGGCAGGTGTGGGCTGTGTGGGGCAGGTGTGGGCTGTGTGGGGCAGGTGTGGGCTGTGGGGCAGGTGTGGGCTATATGGGGCAGGTGTGGGCTGTGTGGGGCAGGTGTGGGCTGTGGGGCAGGTGTGGGCTATGTGGGGCAGGTGTGGGCATTGGGGCAGGTGTGGGCTATATGGGGCAGGTGTGGGATGTGTGGGAGGTGTGGGCTGTGTGGGGCAGGTGTGGGCTGTGGGGCAGGTGTAGTTTGTGGGCAGGTGTGGGCTGTGTGGGGCAGGTGTGGGCTATATGGGGCAGGTGTGGGCTGTGTGGGGCAGGTGTGGGCTGTGTGGGGCAGGTGTGGGCATTGGGGCAGATGTGGGCTATATGGGGCAGGTGTGGGCTGTGTGGGGCAGGTGTGGGCTGTGGGGCAGGTGTGGGCTATGTGGGGCAGGTGTGGGCTGTGGGGCAGGTGTGGGCATTGGGGCAGGTGTGGGCTATATGGGGCAGGTGTGGGCTGTGTGGGAGGTGTGGGCTGTGTGGGGCAGGTGTGGGCTGTGGGGCAGGTGTAGTTTGTGGGCAGGTGTGGGCTGTGTGGGGCAGGTGTGGGCTTGGGGCAGGTGTGGGCATTGGGGCAGGTGTGGACTCTGTGGGGCAGGTGTGGGCTATATGGGGCAGGTGTGGGTTGTGGGGCAGGTGTGGGCTGTGGGGCAGGTGTGGGCTGTGTGGGGTAGGTGTGGGCTGTGGGGCAGGTGTGGGCATTGGGGCAGGTGTGGGCTCTGTGGGGCAGGTGTGGGCTGTGGGGCAGGTGTGGGCTCTGTGGGGCAGGTGTGGGCTGTGGGGCAGGTGTGGGCTCTGTGGGGCAGGTGTGGGCTCTGTGGGGCAGGTGTGGGCTATATGGGGCAGGTGTGGGCTGTGTGGGGCAGGTGTAGGTTGTTGGCAGGTGTGGGCTGTGTGGGAGGTGTGGGCTGTGTGGGGCAGGTGTGGGCTGTGTGGGGCAGGTGTGGGCTGTGTGGGACAGGTGTGGGCTATGTGGGGCAGGTGTGGGCTGTGTGGGGCAGGTGTGGGCTGTGTGGGGCAGGTGTGGGCTATATGGGGCAGGTGTGGCCTGTGTGGGACAGGTGTGGGCTCTGTGGGGCAGGTGTGGGCTGTGTGGGGCAGGTGTGGGCTGTGTGGGGCAGGTGTGGGCTGTGTGGGGCAGGTGTGGGCTGTGTGGGAGGTGTGGGCTGTGGGGCAGGTGTGGGCTCTGTGGGGCAGGTGTGGGCTGTGGGGCAGGTGTGGTCTGTGTGGGGCTGGCTGTCTGGGAGGTGGGGTGCAGGGGTTAAGCTGGGACGTGCGATGCCCACATCCTACACCCGAGCGCTGGCCTGCTCTTGGCCACTTGGCTTCCTGCCCAGCTCCTGCTACTGCACCTGGGAAGCAGCAGTGGTGGCTCCAGTGCCTGTTCCTCTGCCTCCCGCGTGGGCGACCCGGTCGGAGCTCCTGCCTCCTGACTCCCGCCTGGCCCCGTCTGGATGTTGGGACCACCTGGGGAGTGAACCAGCAGAAGGAAGGAAGCTCTTTGTACAGTGCCACACGTTACCGACACACAGGCAACTGTGTGCTGATCTTCTCCCGTGTACCAGTGTTGCAGGCGCTCCGGGCGCCTCCTTCATCCTCGCTTCACTCCGCCTGGAGCGCAGATGACGCCTGCTCACCACCAGGACACCAGAGCACGTGCACGGACCGGACACCCCCCCAAAGGGCGCTGACACACACGTCATAAGGACATGGACAGCCTCGACTGTAGAATTCCTCTTACTAGCGACACAGGACGGGCAGGGAATGTTCCCACCCGCTGGTTCCATCGCAACTGCCTAGGAGCCAGGACCTCATCCCGGTTTCCCATGTGGGTGGCGAGGACCCTGCCACAGAGCTGTCCCTGCCACCTCCCTGGGCGCCCGCTGGCGGGAAGCTGGGACCAGGAGCAGAGCCAGGACTTGAACTCAGCATTCGGGTGTGGGGCGCAGGCGTCCCCACTGCCACACGCTGGCCTGGAGCCATCATCACGCCACTTTCTTGTGCCAACTTAGAAATACTTCACTGCTTCTTCTTTTTTTCTTTCTTTGTTTTTTTGACAGGCAGAGTTAGACAGTGAGAGAGAGAGAGACAGAGAAAGGTCTTCCTTCCGTTGGTTCACCCCCCAAATGGCCGCTATGGTCGGCGCCCTGTGCCCATCTGAAGCCAGGAGCCAGGTGCTTCCTCCTGGTCTCCCATGGGGTGCAGGGCCCAAGCACTTGGGCATCCTCCACTGCACTCCTGGGCCACAGCAGAGAGCTGGCCTGGAAGAGAAGTAACCGGGACAGAATCTGGCACCCCGACCGGGACTAGAACCCGGGTGCCAGTACTGCAGGCGGAGGATTAGCCTAGAGGTGCCGGCCCACTGCTTCTTTCAAACGGACCTCAAGGGCCCCCTGGGGCAGCAGCCTGCTGGTGGCCTGGAGGCGGTGACTTTTGATTGCTTTATCCCAGTGAATTTTTGTTTCTTTTTTCAAAATCCTCCCTGGACTGGCTCTGTGACAACACTGAGGATGTAAACCCACGAGCATGGAGCCAGGAACAGGCCCAGCTGTGGCGGGGGCAGCGGGAGGCCTGCGTGTACCACGGTCAGCTCTGTGTTCCTCATGACATTAGTCAGAGCAGAGCGCCTGGGGGCAGTGTGCTGGTGCAGTCGGCGAAGCCGCTGCCTGTGATGGCGTCACCCGTGTGGGCGCGGTTCACAGCCGGGCTGCTCCACTTCCCATCCAGCTCCCCGTGGTGGCCTGGGAAAGCGCTGAAAGATGGCCCAGGAGCTTGGGCCCCTGCACCCACGTGGGGGACCTGGAGGAAGCTCCTGGCCCCTGGCTTTGGTCTGGATTTGCGGCCGTTTGCGGAGTGAGCCAGTGGGTGGAAGACCCCTTTTACTAGCTCTCTTTATGTCTCTCCCTCTCTCTGCAGATTTCTCTGACTTTGAAATAAATAAATAAAAAAGAAAGAGCAGACAGGCGGTGCCATTTCACGCCCGGCCTTCAGAATCACAAGCACAAACCTTGCGACGCCGACGCCGACGCCGACGCCGACCCCCTGGGTAAGGAGTGCTCCGCGGCGCAGATCCGCAGGAACGTCAGGATGGCCGCCAGCCCGCGCTGCACGATCAGCTGCGGAGGGAACTCGAGCGGACAGTGCCTCAGGTTCAGTGCTCTCAGCGTCGTCACGCGGCCTGCAGGGGACATCAGCACCCACGTCCACGTCCCGTCCCACGGGGTGGACACGGGGACAGAGTCAGCACCCACGTCCACATCCTGCTCCACGGGACAGACACGGGGACAGTGCCTCAGGTTCAGTGCTCTCAGCATCATCACGCGGCCTGCAGGGGACATCAGCACCCACGTCCACGTCCCGTCCCACGGGGTGGACACGGGGACAGAGTCAGCACCCCATGACCACGTCCTGTCCCACAGGATGGACATGAGGAAGAAAACAGACGATCCCGCTCAGTGCCTGAGGCAGGTGACACGATGAACATCTGGATTTGCTTTAAAAAAATCTGCAGGGGAGACAGTTCTGCAGATTACAATCAATCAATCAATCAATCAATCAAAAATACAGCAAACAGAGGCAGCAGAAACCAGCACCTCCAGGCAGAGTTGGGAATACGTCACCACAGCACAGGACAGGAAACCACAGCAGGCAAAGAAGGGGCAAACGCAGTCCATCCTTGGCAAACAAGCCGCCCACAGGACCATCTCTGCAGGCCCAGATGTGGAGCTAGCAACGCCTCCCACGTGACCGCTGCCGTGTGACCACTGCAGTGTGACCACTGTCGTGTGGCCGCTGTCGTGCGGCTGCTGTCGTGTGCCCATGGAAGTGAGGAGCACGTGTGAGTGCAGAGGCGAGCACCCGGAATGCCAACAGCGGTGGGAATTACACAGAAGCCCAGTGCTCAGAGAGATAAACCAGACGGGCGCGACAGCGGCGAGCTGGAAGAGACGGACAGGGGCTTGAAGACGCGGCAGTGAAGATCACTCAGCCTGAGCGTCACAGAGCAGGGACGGAACAGCAGCAGAGCCCAGGGACGCGCGGGACGACACGTGTGCCGGCACATGCGTACGGAGCGGGAGAAACGCCCGAGGAGACCAGGGCAAAACACCCAAGAGAGAGGGTAAGCGTTCGTCTATGCATCTAAGATGTAACAAGCCCCAAGGGAACCTCCCTGAGACACAGCACCGGCAACCAAGGGATGACAAGAAGAGTCCCGCAGACAGCAAGGTGCCGGGTGCACGACAGCCAGACGAGCGGCTGACGCCTGGGAATGCAGCCAGAGGACAGCAGAGGGCAGCGCGCCGGCACCCAGTGCCCCGCGTGCAGCCCCACCATCCTCCAAGAGCGCGGATGGGCGGAGGCGCCCCACGCTGGCGCACGAGGACACGGCATCGGGCCCAGCAACTTCCATGAGGCTGAAGGGCTGGGCCGGACAGCAGGCGGGCTGGACACGCAAAGACAGAGCTGGGGAACCCAGAGCAGGGCAGCAGGACACAACACGCAGAGCAGAGCGCAGCGCGCAGGCGCGAACAGTCAACCGCACGACACCCGGAGCCCCAGTCCCAGCAGGGCGACAGCACAGCGTCACAGAAACAGCGTCAAGGGCCGGCAAAGTTCCAGATCCAACCCGAGGCGCCAGAGAGCAGACACGGAGTCCACCAGGACCTCGGCCTCGCGGCCCAGCCGGAGAGGGTGTCAGCAGAACACCTGGAAAGCAGAGAAAGGACGAATCGTCAGCAAAGGACACGTGCCGGCCGCCGGTTTCCACGGAAGGGACGCAGCCGGAGGGCCCGAGGAAGCTATTTATCAAGTGGGGAAAATTCCTGGAAGCTAGACTCCCATACTCCGCCAGAAACATCCTTCTCAACAGAAGGCCAATAAAGGCCTTAGAAGTCATGGGGAACGTGGGCAGAGGGCCCAAGCTGCCGCCCCCACCATAGCCCCCATCAGAGCCGCCGCCACCCACCATAGCCCCCCACCATAGCCCCCATCAGAGCTGCCGCCCCCCACCATAGCCCCCCATCAGAGCTGCCGCCCCCACCATAGCCCCCATCAGAGCTGCCGCCCCCACCATAGCCCCCATCAGAGCTGCCGCCCCCACCATAGCCCCCATCAGAGCTGCCGGCCCCACCATAGCCCCCATCAGAGCTGCCGCCCCCACCATAGCCCCCCCATCAGAGCTGCCGCCCCCCACCATAGCCCCCATCAGAGCTGCCGCCCCTACCATAGCCCCCATCAGAGCTGCCGCCCCCACCATAGCCACCCATCAGAGCTGCCGGCCCCACCATAGCCCCCCATCAGAGCTGCCGCCCCCACCATAGCCCCCCATCAGAGCTGCCGCCCCTACCATAGCCCCCATCAGAGCTGCCGCCCCCACCATAGCCCCCATCAGAGCTGCCGCCCCTACCATAGCCCCCATCAGAGCTGCCGCCCCCACCATAGCCCCCATCAGAGCTGCCGCCCCCACCATAGCCCCCATCAGAGCTGCCGCCCCCACCATAGCCCCCATCAGAGCTGCCGCCCCCACCATAGCCCCCATCAGAGCTGCCGCCCCCACCATAGCCCCCATCAGAGCTGCCGCCCCCACCACAGCCCCCCATCAGAGCTGCCGCCCCCACCATAGCCCCCATCAGAGCTGCCGCCCCCACCATAGCCCCCATCAGAGCTGCCGTCCCCCACCATAGCCCCCATCAGAGCTCCGCCCCACCATAGCCCCCATCAGAGCTGCCGCCCCACCATAGCCCCCATCAGAGCTGCCGCCCCCACCATAGCCCCCCATCAGAGCTGCCGCCCCCACCATAGCCCCCCATCAGAGCTGCCGCCCCCACCATAGCCCCCCATCAGAGCTGCCGCCCCCCACCACAGCCCCCCATCAGAGCTGCCGCCCCCACCACAGCCCCCCATCAGAGCTGCCGCCCCCACCATAGCCCCCCATCAGAGCTGCCGCCCCCACCATAGCCCCCATCAGAGCTGCCGCCCCCACCATAGCCCCCATCAGAGCTGCCGCCCCCCACCATAGCCCCCATCAGAGCTGCCGCCCCCACCATAGCCCCCATCAGAGCTGCCGCCCCCCCACCACAGCCCCCATCAGAGCTGCCGCCCCCACCATAGCCCCCCATCAGAGCTGCCGCCCCCCCACCATAGCCCCCCAACAGAGCTGCCGGCCATTCGAGGAGGGAACCAGCAGACAGGAAGCTCGCTGTCTCTCTGTTTCTCTCTGAAACTCTGACGTCCAAGTGAGTAAATGAACATTTTTTTTTAAAAAAGCATCCACTGGATTTATGAAAATAGTAGCAACAATGCAAGAAGGAGTACTCACGTCACAGAAAACGTAACACATCCAGGATGCACCATCAGGTTCATCACTAAAACAATCACTGAACTTCTGCTCCCAGCAGCTGCAGCAGCTCCACGCCAGGAGGGCGGCGGGGGCCCGGCGGAGGCGGGGGGGCGACAGCTGCAGGGGACGCTGGGTCGAGGAGGTCAGGGCGGCGGTGGCACAGAAGGAAGCCGGCGGGGCCTCATGCACCCGAAGGCTACAGCACAGGCCAGGGCGCGGGGGGAGAGCCAGGGGGCCAGAGTGTAGGAGGCACAGAAATCCCACGTGCAAACCTTTGGCTGAGGCCTGAACCCCACAGCCCCAGGCCAGGCTCCAGAGGCCCCGCCACGGCTGCAGGAGCTGTGGGGACCCCGATGTCTCTCGTGCCCACGGCAACAGGACAGCTTGAGCGCTGCCCTGTGAGCCTAGCTGCTTTTCTTTTTGATGACTATCACAGAACCCAGCACCTCCACGACGTCTCTGTGGACACAAACCACGATCACCACACAGAAGAAACCCACGGGTGCACCCACAGTGAGAGGAAGGGAAAGCCACGCGACCCCGGGACAGCACGGCGGACAGAGCTGCCCCCGCTGGAAGCCCACACTCGGGAGAACGTGCCTCCACCCAACAGGGCACGAACAGAAACCACTTAAGATGTGCAGGAAAAGTTTAGGACTAAAAATCAGCATCTGATAAAAAAAATAACTAGGTTGGGAGCCAGCTCCATGGCACAGTAGATTAGTCCTCCACCTGCGGCACCGACATCCCATATGGGCGCCGGTTCTAGTCCGGGCTGCTCCACTTCCAGTCCAGCTCTCTGCCGTGGCCTGGGAAAGCAGTGGAGGATGGCCCAAGTCGTTGGGCCCTGCACCCATGGGAGACCTGGAAGAGGCTCCTGGCTCCTGGCTTCGTATCGGCACAGCTCCAGCCATTGCAGCCATGTGGGGAGTGAACCAGAGGATGGAAGACCTCTCTCTCTGTCTCTCCCTCTCACTGTCTGTAACTCTACCTCGCAAATAAATAAATAAAATCTTAAAAAAAAAAAATACTAAGTAGGCTTTGTAGGCCATTGGAGATGCAGGGAGAAAGAGGCTCGGTGACGTGGAGACGGCCGCCTGTCTAAGAACAGAAAGGTGGTTCCTGAAGACGTGCAGGCCTCGTGAGTGCGGGACGGGAGCAAAGGCCTGGCGTGCAGCAGAGGGGAGGAGACAGGACTGGAGGAACGAGGACGGGAGCGCGTCTCGAGCGGGGGCGAGGCAGGGACCGTACCGCTGAGTAAACTCAGCCAATTCTAAGCGACCAAGCATGGAGGAAGCACAGCTGGGCGTCTCCACCCAACAGACAAATCCTGGAGGGCGCCCACGGCGAGCAACACCCCCACACGGCAGGACAGAGCCAGCAGGCACGCGGCGACGGCCCCGGGGCACAGCGTCGGCTGAGAAAACCAGCCCACCCACGGCTCCCTCCCAAAGGGACGGCTCGGCTGAGAACCCAAACCCTGTGGCCTGGAGCACTGCAGAAGACAGCAGCAGGGAGCCAGCTGGCTGTAGGAACCCTGAGGGAAGTTCTTCAGCCAGACGGAAGGCAGAGGTCCCGGCGGGGCGAACACTGCTCTCGACGCCCTTAGAACGCCCGTGACCGAAGGCAAGAAGTGTAACGGTGCCTTACACGGGCTTACACGGGAGGCAGACAGAACGCACGGGACAAGCACGTGTGAAGGAGCGTGGCTCAGCGTGACCCCGGGGCCACAGGTGGGCAGTGGAACCCCCACGGCAGCCACTGAGCTGCTAGGGGAGCAGGAGCTACACCTGCAGCTACACCCGGAGCCACACCCAGAGATACACCTACACCCGGAGCCACAGCTGGAGCCACACCTGGAGCTACACCCGCAGCTACACATGCAGCTGAAATGGGAGCGTCAATACGCATTCAACACACACTGAACTGGAACAGGGAAACTGAAACAGGCCACCTCAGTCGCTCCCACAGATGCCGCCAAACATGGGGGCCCGAGCGCCCCAAGAGAAGGCAGAGACTGCCACGCTGGATGTAGCGATGGACCGTGACTACAGACGGCTCGGGGACACAGAGGTCACAGGGCAGACGGGAAAATGTCTTCTAAGCACATAATGAGCACAGGATGGTGGGCACAGCCACGCTGTCCACAGTGAATGACCCCTGAGCACGTGGCCAAGCCACTAAAACCACCAACCGCCACTAACACCACACAGAGGCGCCGCCACGTCACCAGAAATGCAAGGGCGGGGCTGTGGGCGGAAGGTAACAGGTGCAGCCGCCCCGAGGAGCTGCAGGGACCGCAGCAAGTTCACTCCTGGGTACCGACACTCAGGACACGTGACAGCGACAGTCGGACAGAAAGACAAAACCCGCAACACGAAGACAGAGGTGGCCCAGCTGTGGAGGGACACTCAGGCACAGGGAACAGCACGCGCAGACTAAGGCCGCAAACAGGACTTGGCCTCAGCCGTAAAGACACAGACGAGACGGCGCCAGGCAAACGCGTACCAGAGGAGCGGAGCTCACAGCGGCAGGAGGAAACCAAGCAAGCAACGTTCTGTTCAGCCAGCGACTTGGGGCCAGATCCGTGGGAACTCTGTCCCACCAACAGCGCAGTGCCGAGCAGGTGAAGCAAGATCTACAGGTGTAAAAGGAGGGGGACAAATCCACAGTCTCGCTGGAAGACTTCAACACAGCTCTTGGGTCACTGATGGCAGAGAGAGGACAGTATCAGGACTCGAGGTAATCTGAGCGAAACGCTGAGTGAACTCTGCCCGAAATCCAGACCATCACTCCAGCCACGACGTGCGCTGGGTGCCGAGCGCCTGCTCCCTCCCCCGCCCCCACCAACACCACGCTGTGCGGCACCTGTTCCGCCTGACAGCCGTGACACCTGTGCTACCCCCTGCCCCCCCAGCACGGCTCGTGGCCCCCTCCCAGGTCTGCTGGCTTCCAGAGGCAGCATTTAAACCCCACCATTTCCAAGGATTTCATGGTTCCCACACTCACCCAGCTCCACTGGTAACATCTTGATAGGATTTCTCTCTAAGAGCAAAGTTTTCAAGTGCCTTAAAACAAAACAAAATAATTGCTTAGGCAGCAGGAAAGCAACGGGCCCCCCAGTACACAACGCTCGCTTTTCTGCTCTTTCTGGGCGACATCTGCAGCAGGGCACGCTGCGGCCGACGGGGCTCCAAGCGTGAGGATCCGGGCCGGGCTCTGGCTCTGGGACCGGCAGGCTGCACTCCCAGCTCCGCAGGGCACCGGGCTGCACCTCCGGCCTCTCCCCACCTCGCGCCAGTGGCCCTGCCCCATCCCCCCGTGGTGACAGCCACAAATGTCCTCAGACACCTCCAACAGCCCCCCGGGGACAAACCACCGTCCTGGGTTCCAGCTTCCTGAGAAGCCGGGATCGAGGGCCTGCAGCTTCCTGTGCAGGACGCTGCCCTCTCAGACAGGACCCAGCGCCCGGGGCTTGGCGAGGTTTCAGTCAGGAGAGGGCCGAGGCACATTTCTGGAATGCTCGTGACACCGATCAATCACAGACAAGCAAACCCTCTCGCACCTCTCACTGGACTGTGGTCCTTGGGTCTCACAGGCGATCTCAAGATTATTCCGTGTGTGACCCAGCTGCCCCCTCCCTCCTCTGCCTCCCAGCTGAGCCCCGGCACGCAGGGGGCGCCATCATCCTGGCTCCTCTGCTGCCCCCGGCTGCTCCTGGCGCAGGCTCGGCTCACCCAGCCACTGCCCCACTCGGAAGTCAGGGCTCAGGGGCACTGGGGGACCCCGGGCACAGGTGCCTGCCACCAGGAGACGGCCCCACAGCCGCAGCAGCTCAGGCCCCGGGAGGGGAGAGCCCCGCCTGCCTCCTCGCTTGCTGCCGCGTTGCCGACGCCAGGCCCGGCAGGCAGGAGCGGTCTCAGGCGAGCGCCTGGCGGGGCCGATCCAGGCCTACACCTGCAGCTCTCCTTCTGCATCGCGGCTTCTCAGAGAGGGGCTCGTGACCAGCGCTTTGGAGGTCCTCATCGGGGCCACCAGGGTCCCCACAGCTTCCCAGACACAGACTGAGACTGCCGGTGTCGCACGGGAGCTCGACTGGCAACGACCCCGAAGGAAATGGGGCTTCCTGCCCCGGTGCTGGGGCCGGGCCGGTGGGATGGGCCAGGCGGGGCGGGCTGGCACCAGGAGCTGCTCCTCCTCTGGCACCAGGCTCAGACTCTCTGCATTCCCTGGAGCGTTCACCACCCCCAGGGCTCACCGCGCTGAGCTGAGCCGGCCCTGCCGGCGAGCAGACGCACCGGCTCCTCCGCTGCCCGTCTCTGCCAGCAGCCTGCACACCCCAGACACGGAGACGGGCCCACGCTAACGCTGCCATTGTCTTAATTATGCTTTTTGAGCATTTTAAGGCTTTTTAATAAGCCCATAATTACTTAAAATTTCTAATTAATATGTTTCAGCTCTGCACTAAACTGATCTAATTTTAATGCTGTAATAGGTTATAAATCACAGGCAAATTACATCATAAACAACACGAAGCAGCTGGCTTTGACTGGCAAAATCAAAGCATTCCCAAAGCTGAGCACGGCACGCTTGCTCCAGGAGAAGCACCGGCACCCTCGGGGCCAGGCCGCGGCCGACTCTGCCCTGCCAGTGCGGCCACTCGGCGCCGAGGCCGAAACCTCGTGTGGAGGAGAAGCGCCAAGTTACCCTGAACCCGCACGCCCCTGTGAAGGAGGTGGCCCCGGGGGCACGGAGGCAGCCCTGCCGCGGGTCCTGGTCACCCAGCTGGCGGCCGGGCGGGCACGCAGCCCTCTTCCCCAGGCTCCGTCCAGGACCCGCCCTGCCCCCTCAAAGCCACCAAGGCCCCGCCTGGCCAGCCTCGTCCAGGTGTGATGGCCCCTTGTGTGCACAGCTCCTCCTCATCCCGCCCGCCGGCCCCTCCCCTCACAGTGAAGCCAGGTCAGTCCCACCCTCCCCACTCGCGCCTCCTGGGCTTCCTGTCTCTTTCCAAGTAGAAGTCCGGGATGCAACGGAGTCCCACGGGTGACCCTTGAACCCTGCTTCGCAGCACAGCCCTGCTGTGTCCTCACTCAGCCCCCCGCCACCCCTCGGCCTTGGTGGGAGCTCTGTCTCCCATGGGACACGTGGGATGCGGCCGAGTGCTTCCCCAGAGGCTGCGGGAGAAGCTCAGGAACGCCACACTGCTCCTGGGGGAGGGGGCGGGGAGGGGAGAGACGGGGGGGGAGGGGCCTAGGGCAGGTGTTCCAACTACAGGGTGGGGCCCTCGGGCAGGTGTTCCAACCACGGGGTGGGGGGCTCGGGCAGGTGTTCCAACCACGGGGTGGGGGGCTCGGGCAGGTGTTCCAACCACGGGGTGGGGGGCTCGGGCAGGTGTTCCAACCACGGGGGGGTGTCTCGGGCAGGTGTTCCAACCACGGAGGGGGGGTGTCGGGCAGGTGTTCCAACCATGGGGGGGGGGCTTGGGCAGGTGTTCCAACCATGGGGGGGGGGCTTGGGCAGGTGTTCCAACCACGGAGGGGGGGTGTCGGGCAGGTGTTCCAACCATGGGGAGGGCCTCGGGCAGGTGTTCCAACCATGGGGGGGGGGGGCTTGGGCAGGTGTTCCAACCACGGAGGGGGGGTGTCAGGCAGGTGTTCCAACCATGGGGGGGGCCTCGGGCAGATGTTCCAACCATGGGGGGTGGCTCGGGCAGGTGTTCCAACCACAGGGCCGGGTTCTGCTCCCCGGCAGGAGAGAGGGGAAAGCCCTGGTGTCATGGCAGAAGCACAAGAGAGCTCGGGCGGCCTGCACGTGGCTTCCCAGAGCTTTCCAAAACGCGGCAAGGTTCTCGCCATTGGCCAAGAACCACCGTGGGCCGCACAGGGCCCCCAGGAGCACAGGGGCCGGGGGAGGGGCCGCCGAGCCCCCACTACGGTCTCAGCCGTGTGCGTGGGGGAGCCGCCTCCGAGTCTCTTAGCTTTGAAAACGCTGTTAAACGCTTGTGTTCCGAAGTAAACCTTCAGTGAGGAATGGGAGCCGAGTGTCCAAGGCACAGGCCCGCGTTGTAAAGGGGGAACTCTTGGGAACAGACACACTTACTTGTGAGCCCCGATCCCGGAGGGCAGCGCCTTGATCCTGTTGTACCGGAGGTCGAGCCAGGTGAGGTTGGGCAGCAGCTGGAAGAAGTCCTTGGGGATGGCGCAGAGGGCGTTCCTCTGCAGGTGCAGTTGCTTCCGCAGGAAGAGGGAGAAGCACAGGCCGTCACCACGCACGCCGTGCACACCCAAGCCGGAAACTCCCCGGCGGTTTACCCCTCGGGAACCTGGGCGGCACACGGAGGATCGGCAAGCGCCAGCGCTCCCTCGCGCCCTCGGGGCTGGCAGAGCGGGCGGCCTCGGGGCAGAGCCGGGCTCGCAGCAGCCGCCTCTCTCAAGCAGCCTTCACACCAAATGCAACCCCGGGGTTTTCAAAGGTCACCTCCTCCTTCTGGCCCCCCACGCACTGTCCCAGCACCCACTGCCACGCCAGGCTGTCCTTCAGCCCCCGGGATGAGGGCCAGGTGTGCTCCCAGCAGCTGGGCACGAACTCAGGCAGAGGCACCAGGACCGGAGCCATGCCCGCCTACGGCCAGCACCGCACAGCGGCCGCCGTCGGGAGCACCAGCTGGGGGCAGAGGAGACGTAGGGGGTAGTTCAAAAAGTTCATGGAAAGTGGAGGCGAAAGGTGCATTCAGTTGGGTGTGAAAGTTACAACTATCTGGACGCTGACTTCAGCCGTGCAAAACGGAGACACACCAGCGCTGTGGTCAGGACAAGACTGTGTCACCAGGGCCGGCCTGCGCACAGTAAACCCAGTGTGCATCACTGGCAAAGGGGCCAGCGAGGAGAGCTGCAATCCACAGCCCCAGTACTGCCTGGGCGTCTCGGCAGGCGAGCCCACCGCGTTCGGCACTGCCGCTGTGACCTGAACTTCCCACGCGGCTGTGATCGACCTCGTGAAGCCACAGGTTGGCCCCCTCCCTTGGCCCCAGAACCCACGACGTGCGCAGGGACAGAGCCTGCAAGGTGAGCCGGGCTGAGCCCCTGCTTACCTGCAGACTGGGGATCGTAAAGAGCTCCCCCAGGTGGCGCAGGCCACTCTGACTCAAGTCCAGCACGGGCGAGGAGCAGGAGATGACCCCCTCCAGCCCCCTGCACACATCCTGGGAGAGGGGCTCGGGCAGGTCCTGTGCTGGGGCGGCAGGCTCCTTGGGGCCCTCAGCTGCAGCCGAGGGGGCTCTGTGGGAGGGACTTCCCTCCATCTGTCCTCCCCGGGGGGCCGCAGAGCATCCTCCTTGGTCTGGAGTCACCTGGAATACAGCAAGGGCAGAGGTGGCACCGTGGAGCACAGGCCAGGTCCGGCTGTTTAAGAAGCCATCACGAGGGCCGGCGCCGCGGCTCACTAGGCTAATCCTCCGCCTAGCGGCGCCGGCACACCGGGTTCTAGTCCCGGTTGGGGCGCCGGATTCTGTCCCGGTTGCCCCTCTTCCAGGCCAGCCCTCTGCTGTGGCCAGGGAGTGCAGTGGAGGATGGCCCAGGTGCTTGGGCCCTGCACCCCATGGGAGACCAGGAAAAGCACCTGGCTCCTGGCTCCTGCCATCGGATCAGCGCGGTGCGCCGGCCGCAGCGCGCCGGCCGCGGCGGCCATTGGAGGGTGAACCAACGGCAAAGGAAGACCTTTCTCTCTGTCTCTCTCTCTCTCTCTCGCTGTCCACTCTGCCTGTCAAAAAAAAAAAAAAAAAAAAAGAAGCCATCACGGGGCCGGCGCTGTGGCACAGCGGGTAAAGCCGCCGCCTGCAGTGCCAGCATCCCGTAAGGGCGCTGCTTTGAGCCCCTGCTGTTCCACTTCCCATGCAGCTCCCCGCCGTGGCCTGGGAAAGCCGTGCGAGATGGCCCACGTCCTCGGGACCCTGCACCCACGAGGGAGCTCCTGGCTTCTCGCTGGCCCAACTCTGGCCATTGCGGCCATCTGGGGACTGAACCAGAGGATGGGAGACCTCTCTATCTCTGTGTCTCTCTGTAACCCTGCCTTTCAAATAAAATAAATAATAAATCTCTTTTTAAAAATCCTGACTTCCGAGTAAAAACTGGAATACAAGAAGGTTCCCACTGACACCCTCCACCCTCCCTCTGACCCACGGAGCTCCAGGACGTCACTGTCACCTTGAAGAACACACAGGAGCACAGCAGGAGCGGTGATGCTGGGGGCCAGCGGGGACCCTGCTGTGAGCCGGCGGGGGCCTCCTGGCTCCCCTAAACCTGCTGGGTCTGCAGCGCCACTGGGTCCGGCCAGCACGTTGGGTCCTGGGGAGAAGTCGAGACATCAGGATCCGGTCTCGGCCTGCCCAGCCATCCTGGGGCCACCGAGTCCTTGAGGCACAGGCCACCTGCACCCCAGAGGTTCGCCCAGGTAAGCAACGGGCCAGCGGCGGCCACTGGCAACGCGGGGTGGGTGGTGTACACCTGTGTGGTGCGTGTATGAGCACGTGTGTGTACACGTGTTATAGGCACCCGGGTGTGTTATGTATACACACCCCCAGGTGGTGCACCCATGTGTGGTGCATGGAGCACGTTATACGCATGTGCACTTGTTACGTGTGTGTACCCATGTGCAACCTGTGCACGTTATAGGTGCATGCGTGTTATGTGCACACACTGAAGGGTGTGGTGCATGTATTTGTGTCATAGGTGCCTGTGTTATGTGCCCACACCACGGGGCGTGTACACATGTTATGGGTACATGTGTGTTATGTGTGCACCCGTGTGGGGCGCATGTACTCGTTATAGGCACACACGTGTTATGTGCCCACACCGTGGGGCGTGTACACGTGTTACGGGTGCATGTGTGTTATGTGTGCACCCGTGTGGGGGGCATGTACTCGTTATAGGCACACACGTGTTATGTGCCCACACCACGGGGCGTGTACACGTGTTACGGGTGCATGTGTGTTATGTGTGCACCCGTGTGGGGGGCATGTACCTGTACTATATGCACACACGTGTTATGTGCCCACACCACGGGCGTGTACGCGAGTGCCTGCTCCACAGCCCTGCCAGGTCCGCCCAGGACGCAGTCAAGGGGCCAGGGGCTCCCGGCCACTGTGACGCAGAGCGGTCCCCTCGCGCCCGCGTTCCACGGGGACCCCGGCCCCAAGCTCCCCCGGCCAGAGCCAGGGGACCGGCTCCGCGGGCTCAGCGCTGACCCCAGGCCCGGGCCAGGGTTGGGCTTGGCCACTGTCGCTTCCCGCTCCCGCCCCAGGGCCTGCGCTCCGCGGATCCCGGTTCTCCCCAGCCCCCGACCCCAGCCGGGTCTCGCGCCTCACCTGCGGGCTGCGGCTGACCTACACGGCCCGCAGCGGCGGGGGCGCCCACGCGGTTGCCATGGAGACGACGCGCTACGGGATCCCGCAGGCGCCAGGCGACCTCGGGCGCGCGGGGCTGACGCGCGCCTGCGCACGAGGCGCCGGCCGGTCCTGCTCCTGAGCGCGGACCATCGCATGGCGGCCGCTTCCTGTGCGGGCGCCGGGGACAGCAGGGACCCGGGCGAGAGAGGGCGGGATGCAGCCGTGGGGTGGAGGGGAGGCGGGGGGCGGCGCGAAGACCCGGCCGCAGGGTGGCCGGAGCTGCTTCCTGCGCACCGGCCGGCCGGGCAGCGCCCCTCGGCCGGACCCGCCGCGGGGACGCCCTCCGGAGCCCCCACACCCCTGCGAAGCTCGGTCCGGTCGGAGGTGACAGCGAGTGACCGAGGGACCAGCTAGGGCAGCCACTGAGGAGTTCAGAATGTTTTTTAAACAAATATCCCTTCTGAGAGCGTTTGCGTCTGTTAGCTCACGCCCGCAGGCCTGCGGCGCCCGGGGCTGGTGAAGCCGGAACTGCTCGGCCATCTCTGCAGCCTTCCAGGGTGCACACTGCTAGGGGGCTGGAGTCGGGTCAGACCTCGCGCTCCGGCGCGGTGTGGACCGCATGACGCCGCCAACGCCTGCACCTGGACCGAGCTCACCTTGGGAGACAGCCCTGGGTGTGGCCACTCGCATCTGCCCGCCCGCTGAAACCTGAAGCGAAGGCATCGCCGGCCCCAGGCAGCCAGGATTCTAGAAGGGTGAGCTTGGCTGTGGGGTCACCTTCCCCCAGAATCACCCTGTGTCTAAAAGCGCTCAGAGCCTCAGCTGCCCAGCAACCTCCCAGCAGACCGACATCCAGGGGTGAGGCCCTATCCTGAGACCACCCGAGGAGAGGCAGGGGCTGGAAAGAGCCTGGATTGCCCTGGGGTGACCTGGGGTGCGGAGCTCTTGTCCTGCCTTCTGGGGAGGGAGGAAGTGTCTGGGATCATACCCTCGCTGTGTTGATGTGTGTCAGTGTGGCACACGGAGGACGGCAGGAACACCGAATCAGGTCTGAGACAAACACCCGGAAGTGGAAGCTGACGCTGGGAGGACCCAGACACAGAAGTGGGCAGCTTGTATATAAACAACAGGCGTTTATATTGAATAACGGGCAGTCTAATGGTGCCGAACAGAACAGTGCAGGCAGTAAAGGCAAGGTTGACAGCGGAAACTTGGAAAGGATTGATTGAAAGTCCAGAACTGAAAGATGCGACAACAAATCTGAAGTCAGTCGGGATGGTCTTAGAACTGGAGGGAGAAGGTAAGGCCAGCAAGCAAGAGGTGGAGGTCAGAGTGCAGGGGGGACTGGGGAGCGAGCGTAATACGCGGCCGGCGCTGCGGCAGGAGCGCCTCTCTGTGCGGCCGTAGGTGAACACTTTGCTGACAGAGGCTCTCACGTGGTGTTGCGGAGGCGGGAGAGAAAGATGGCTGTTGGTGACTGACAGCACGTGCACACACAGGGGGTCTTCAGAAAGTTCATGGAAAGTGCCACTTGTGGGAGAATGACTTGGAATTTGTCTCTACGTTTATTTCCATCTACTTGAATGAATCAGAAAGAGATCTTCCACCCGCTGGTTCACTCCCCCAAATGCCCACAACAGCCATGGCTGGACCAGGCTGAAGCCTGGAGCCTGGAACGCGGGGGGGGGGGCAGGGCCCCAGGTCCAGGATCATCGCCTGCTGCACACAGCAAGAGGCTGGAGATGGAGGCAGAGCTGGGACGCCAGTCCAGGGACTGTGCGGGTCTGCTGGGTCTTGGCTGCTGCAC